TCTGTGATCTTATAAAATCATCAGCATTGAAAATAAACAATTGTATTTCCTTGTCTCATGACATCTGATGTGACGATCATACAGATCCGATACAAACTCAGCAGAAATCTCAACAAAGCTGACTTTGTGTAATCACTGCAATTCCAGAAAAGACAAAAACTAAACAAACAAACATCCACATAATAAAAGAAGTCCTCTACATGAACATAAAAGAATGAAAGTTATATAAAAGACATACACAATAAAAGACCACGTTACCTTCCCAGTGTGCACCCCAACACGCATATTTACATCCTCGTTGGTATCGATATCAAATTCTCGGATGGCTTCGATCATTGCCAGACCCATATTTACACAGCACTCAGCATGATCTGGTCTGGGTTCAGGGCATCCACTCACACTGTAGTAGCAATCCCCAAGTGTGCTAATCTTCTCACAGCAATGCTTCTGACAGAGGTCATCAAAACGGCCAAACAGGTCGTTTAGCAAGTCAACAAGCTGTTCAGCAGTCTGCTCGAGAAGAGTTTAAAATGAGAGAGTTTATACCTAGTTATATATCAGAAAAAATATAAAACATATCTTAATTTTGTTTACCTTGTTTATTTACATCTTGCAGTATTTTACAACATTAAAAGTAGATGAAAACAACTGAAATTCATTATGTACCTTGTTTGAGCTCATTCTGGTGAAACCAACGATATCAGCAAAGAGAATGCTGACGTTGTCCATTCCATGCATGTTGAAAGGTCTGAACATAGAGTCTAAACCACTAGTGTGAGATGGCCGTGGAGATGACACCTGAAGCATAAATTGAAACAATGTCCTTTCATATCCTATAAAACACATAATACATTTATAGATCATTCTCTCTAGTCCCAATATCAAAGGATCATTCTTATCTGTCCCTGGCTTACAAAATGAGAAAAAAATAGATACACTTACTGGTCTAAGTATAGCCCCATCCTCCCTGTAGTGTGTGGCATCATCATTCTCCTCTGCAGCAGTTTCCTTCATGAGCCAGTCTGCGACTTTTGGAGGCATGACTGAGTGAATCATCTTTTCCTTCAGGGTCTTCTCAATTTCTAACTGTCTTCGCACCAGGAGAGACTGGCCGATGCTCATGAAAGTGCCACGCATTCGTACCTGAATTCAATAGGTACCATTAAGCAGAGTGACTTCTACCTACTGTTATTATAAAACCATTACTTTTACATATAAAGTTCCCTAAACAGTCACATCTGAACTAGCAAGTGGGTGTGATATATAGTCTTTTAAGACATGTTTGATAAATTACATTAACTTGAAAAGGAACATCTTTACAGCAATCATTCAGATTAACCATTTTACAGTCTTTATTCAAAAGCAGAATTATCTGTAAACAAGAAATAAGATTCGTGCTGATTTGAAATGGCAGAATAAGAACCTGATTTATAGGTATACACTTCATAGAGCTGAAGGGGGGGGGTATCTAAACAAGAAACCTAATCCTTTCCTGAAATCAAGTATTTAGTCTGCTGTCTCCAGAAATATTATACCAGACTATGCTTCAAAAATCAAATCAATTCAGTGAGATTCTGTACAGCTGTCCCTTGAAAATTCCACAAACATCTTGAAAAATAAATCAAGCTCTAAGCAAGAAACACCTTTTTCCCATTTCTGTATCATTGGTTCTAGACTTTAGTAAAACAGCATAAACAACAGAACATTACTATATCAAGTTCTTCATTTGTACTAACCCATCTCTCGGTAAGGGACAAGCAATTTCAGAGAGAATGAACAAAAGTTTATACATAACACAGGTCTCCAGATATCATGCAGTCAAAACATGCTTTTCACTTATTTTTTTTACAACACTGGAAAGGTTATATCAAAATCTTAATAAAAAGGTCTTCACATTGACTTCATATATAAGGACTGCATAAAAAATCTTAATATCCTTTCACTTGCTTAACAGAATAAGTGCTAAATATAAAAAACAGTTTAGACTAAGAAAAATAATACAGTCAAAGAATAATTATAGATTTCTGTATAGTAGAAGACATATATTGAATAACTGTAAACACAAAAAGTCTAAAAGAAATTCTAAAAACCCCATGATGAAAATCCGTACGTACTTGTGTCATAATCATGATATGGGCACCAATCAGGTGAATGCAGAGGTGCAGTCCAAGTCGAACACAAATCAGTTTGATTTCGCTCTCTATAATAAGCCCATTCAGAATTTCAAATGTGGCGGTGTACAGTAAAGACATAATCACAGTTAAGTAGAGGGGCAGGGGGATCACTGTGTAGATCAGGAGCAAAACCTGGCAAGGAAAACACAAGCAAAATATATGAATGTTAAAAATCACATCAAGCGAGGAGAAAAAAATAGCAACTGCATTTCTGTACGTGAAGAAAAGCAATGATACCTATGTGTCTGTTTGCATGTAAGAATATCTGTTCAAAAAGCATACATCTTCCCACATATAATGAGCTCAAGGGCAAAGCATGTGGATGT